CAGATCGACTCGGGCCGCGTGCGGTCACGCAGTGCGAGAGGCGCATTAGACTGTGCAAAGGAGCCCGGCGCAGTCCGAGTCACACGGCCAGTCCACAAGTCAATGGCGAGCACACTGGTTGCACCAGAACTGGTTCTCGTCGTCGCAGTCGTCGCCAGCGGCGTCAGCGTCGTCGTCGTCGCCGTCGCCGTCGTCGTCGCCGTCGCTGTCGTCGGCATCGTCGTCGTCGTCGCCGTGATATCGTCGTAGTCGTCGTCACCGTCGACGTCGTCGTCCTCGTCGTCACCCATTGTCGTCCTCGCCGTCGCCAGAAGGAATCGTAGTGTAATCCCTTACAAGAGAAATCCTAATGTTATCGCCCACAAATTAAAATCCCAATGTAATCCCTAAAAAACGATTAGGCCCCCCCACACAAGAAATACAAACGTAACTTCTCACGAACAAGACCGTTTGATACTTCGCCTGAAAAGAAAAATCCCGGCAAAGCAACCTAACCGCGATGTGTAGGAGCATATCTGGAAGCATTCCCCTTAAGATTCAGATGAGAATCCACTTGTAGAGTTCTGCTGTTCTCGCAGTCGTAGTCGCATTCGCGATGACAGTCGCAGCGGCAACGGCAGTCGCAGTCACAGCCTCACCCTCAGCCTGCCTCAGCCTCAGCCCCAGCCTGGCTCATCCTCCGCCTCAGCCTCAGCCTCAGCATGCTTCAGCCTCAGCCTCAGCCTCAGCCGCAGCCTCGGCCTCAGCCTCAGCCTGCCTCAGCCTCACCCTGCATCAGCCTCAGCCTCAGCCTCAGCCTGCCTCAGCCTCCTCAGCCTCAGCCTCAGCCTCAGCTGCTCATCAGCCTGCCTCAGCCTCAGCCTGCCTCAGCCTCAGCCTGCATCAGCCTCAGCCTCAGCCTCAGCCTCCTCAGCATCAGCCTGCCTCAGCCTCAGCCTCAGCCTCAGCCTGCCTCAGCCTCAGCCTCAGCCTGCTTCAGCCTCAGCCTCAGTCTGCCTGCAGCCTCGGCCTCAGCCTCAGCCTGCCTCAGCCCCAGCCTGCCTCAGCCTCAGCCTCAGCCTCCGCCTGCCTCAGCCTCAGCCTGCCTCAGCCTCAGCCTCAGCCTACCTCTGCCTCAGCCTCAGCCTGCATCAGCCTCAGTCTCAGCCTCAACCTGCGTCAGTCTCAGCCTGCTGCGTTCCCGCATACCCCTTCGGCCTCAGCCTGCCTCAGCCTCAGCCTGCATCAGCCTCAGCCTCAGCCTCAGCCTCAGCCTGCGTCAGTCTCAGCCTGCTGCGCTCCCGCATACCCCTTCGGCCTCAGCCTGCATCAGCCTCAGCCTGCATCTGGCTCAGCCTCAGCCTCAGCCTCAGCCGGACTCAGCCTCAGCCGCACCTCCGATGGCGCCGAGGTGGCTCCCGTGCGTACCTGCACCCACGGAACTCACCTCCGATGGCGCCGAGGTGGCTCCCGTGCGTACCTGCGCGCACGGAACGCTTCTCCGATGGCGCCGAGGTGGCTCCCGTGCTTACCTGCACGCACGGAACGCACCTCCGATGGCGCCGAGGTGGCTCCCGTGCGTACCTGCAAACACAGAACGCACCTCTGATGGCGCCGAGGTGGCTCCCGTGCGTGCCTGCACGCACGGAACGCACCTCCGATGGCGCCGAGGTGGCTCCCGTGCGTACCTGCACGCACGGAATGAGCTCCGCCGGATTCTCCCGGTTTCTGCCGGCTTCCGCCCGGACCCCCCTGGAGTGTCATGATGCTCTCTTTTGACCCTACTAGAAGCCTATCAGCACAAGCTGTTAGGTAATTTACATGTCAATTCCCCGCAACAGGAATACGATTGGGCTCCTCCACAAAAGCCACCTCGTAACCTTCCACCAAAGACATTATGTTGTACTCCTCCACAAAAGTAATTACATAGAAATCCTCCACAAAAGAAAACCTACTCTAATCCTCCACAAAAGGATTCCTACTGCAATCACTCTCAAAAGGAATGTCAAAAAAAAACTTCCACGAAAGAAATCTGATTGTAAGCGTCTACATCGGAAATCCGAATGTAATCCTCCGCCCAAATAGATATCGAGATCTTTCACAAAAGCAATCCGATCGTAATCCTCTTCAACGAAAATCCTAGCGCAATCTTCCCCGAAAGAAAACCCTTTTGAAATCCTCACCAAAGGAACTCGCTTTGTAATCCGACCCAGCACAACAGGAATCCATGTGTACATCACTAGCGGAATACAGTTGCATTCCGCCACAAAGGACTCCTTATGTAATCCGCCATAGAAGAAATACAGGTATAATCCGCCACTAAAGAATTCATATGCAATCCAAACCGTTCTTAAGCCACCACAGAAGTAATGCATGTGTAATCCGCCACAAGAAGAATCCATGCGTAGTCCAATTCAAAACGAATCCTATTGTAACCCTCCCTAAAAGGAATCCGATTGTAATCCTCACCATCAGGAATCTATATGTAATCGCCTCAGAAGAATAAATTAGCAATCCGCCACCACAGGAATCCATCTGCAATCCACCCCGAAAGAAATTCATTTATAAACCGCCACAGGGGAATCCAACTGTAACCCCCCCCCCCGGTTTTCCAAGATGAGGAGGAGGAGAACAGGAGGGGGGAAATGAGAACCAGTAGTGACCCCCCCCCCGTCCAGGAGGAACCCGGGGGGGGGAGGGGGGGTCGAACCAGTAGTGACCCCCCCCCTGTTTCAGGAGGAACCGGAGGGGGGTAGGGGTTGGGGAACCCGAGTGACCCCGCCCCCCTTTTCGACAGGGGGGGGGAGCGGGGGGGGGTTAAAACCCCGCCCCACCCCCAAGTTTCTGCTAGCAGCGACAGAGCACGCTCTTTCACATACATGCATTCCTACATGCATGTCTACATACATACATACATACATACATACATACATACATACATACATACATACATACATACATACATGCATGCATGCATGCATGCATGCATGCATGCATGCATACATACATGCATGCATACATACATACATACATACATACATATAAATGCAAATGCATACACATACATACATACATACATACATACATACATGCATACATGCATGCATGCATGCATGCGTGCGTGCATGCATGCATACATACAAACATGCATGTATACATACATACATACATGCATACATATATATATATATGCATACATTCATACGTATATACATACATATATACCTACATACATACATGTATACATGCATACATACATGCATACACACATACATAATTACATACATATATACATACATGCATACATACATACATATATACATACATACATACATACATACATACATACATACATACATACATACATACATACATACATACATACATACATACATACATACATATATACACACACATGCATACATACATACATACATACATACATACATACATACATACATACATACATACATACATACATACACACATACATACATGCATGCATGCATGCATGCATGCATGCATGCATGAATACATACGTGCATGCATACGTATGTATGGTCCAGGGCTTGGGCCCCCCCCCCCCCCCATGCTGATGGCATTGGGACCCCAACCCCCCGCGCGATGGTCTCCCCCTTCCCCCCCTGTGGGCGTGGCGTGGTGCTGCGCTGCGGTACCCCCCACCCCCACCTGTGGATGTGGTGTGGTGCTGTGGTGGTTCAGAGGTGGGCGTGGCGTGGTGCTGCGCTGCGGTGCCCCCCTCCCCCCCCGTGTGGATGTGGTGTGGTGCTGTGGTGGTTCTGAGGTCGTCGTCGTCGTCGTCGTCGTCCTCGTCGACCTCGTCGTCGTCGTCGTCCTCGTCGTCCTCGTCGTCGTCGTCATCGTCGTCGTCGCCGTCGTCCTCGTCGTCATCGTCGTCGTCGCCGCCGCCGCCGGTGTCGTCGCCGCCGCCGCCGTCGTCGTCGTCGTCGTGGTCGTCGTCGTCGTCGCCGTAGTCGTCGCCGTCGTCGTCGTCGTCGTCGTCGTCGTCCTCGTCGTCGTCGTCGTCGTCGTCTCTGGGACCATACCATCTGGTGGGGGAGGGCCCGAGGAATCCTGGGACCATACCATCTGGGGGGGGGGCGGGCCCGTGGGCCCGTAGCCTGGGACCATATATAAATACATGTATGCATACATGCATACATGCAAATGCAGACATGCATACATACATACGTACGTCCATACATACAGACAGAAATGCATACATACATGCAAACAAACAACCAAACAAACAACCAAACACACAACCATACACACAATCATACGGAAATGCGTCTACATACATACCTGCATACATGCATAGATGCATACATGCATACATGCATACATGCAGACGTGCATCCATACACATCTACATGCATACAAACATACATACCTACAAGTATAAATGCATACATACATATATACATACATACATGCATACATACATACATACATACATTCATACATGCATGCATACGTACATACATACAGACATACATACATACATGCGTACATCCATACATGCATGCATACATACAGACAGACAGACATACATACATACATATATGCATGCATACATACAGACATACATACATGTATGTATGCATACATACACATATGTGTATACATACATATCTGCATACATGCATACATGCATACATACATACATACATACATGCCTTCAGACATACATACATACATACATACATACATACATACATACATACATACATACATGCATGCATGCATGCGTGCATACAGACGTACATACATGCATAGATACATGTGTATATATACATATAGATGCACGCATATACATATATATATATATACATAGAGAAATATAATATAACTATATATATACACAGATGCGTGTATATATATATATATGTATAATTCCTGCCTGGCCAGCCAGGCGGACGCAGACGCAACTGGCCCTGGGCCCAGGGCTGGCCCGTCCAGGAGCGGCAAGGGATGGTCGGCTGACGCAGCCCGAGCTCCAGCAGCGTCATCCCCAGGGCGTCCCGCCCGTGCACGAGCAGCCGCCCCTCCTCCACCGGATCCGCCACCGTGCCGGTGCCGCTGCGGGGGGAAGGAGGGGCGACACCCACACCACCAGGGGGCCACCTCCAGCATGGAGGTCCACGATGCTTCCCCGAGCCGGGCACACGGGATTTCTCGAGCGAGAGGGGGGACCACACCACCAGGGGGGGCCTTCCCTGGCTCCTCCCGCTGGTGGTCCCTGGTGGTCTTGGTGTCGGTTTTCTATGCTCCTACGCTGGGCACGGAGTGGGCGTGTCCTCAGGTGCTGGGCCCAAGCCTCGAAGCCCCAACCCTCACTCCTGAGGAAACTTTCAAGGGGACAGGACCACAAATTCTCAAACCTCCCGGGGCTTGGCGCCGTTCCGCTGAGGCTTCCAGCTGCCCGTCGCGGCTTGTCGCATGACAGTATCGGGCCCAGACGGGCCCGCACCCACAACCCAGGCACGGTGGCGGGATGGGCCGAAGGCCATTAGATCCGCCGCCCCCTGCTTGCAGGGGTGCACGGCGTGCTGGACGAGCTGTTAGGTTTTGGTTTTGGTTCTTTTTCCAAAAGAACTCCCCAGTGGGCTCCGGCAGAACCCGCCACCGTGCGCAAAAACGGCCGTTTCGCTCGGGACATCCTCAAAAAATCGCGAAGATGGCCCAAGATGGCCTCCAAGTCCGCCCGAGATGGTCCAAGACGGCCTCCAAAACGGCCCAAGAGAGTCCAAGACGGCCCAAGACGGCCCAAGAGGCCCCCCAGAGGCCTCCCAGACGGCCCAAGAGGCCTCCAAGAGGTCCTCCAGGAGAGTCCGAAGAGGCCAAAATCATTGATTTTCCATTGGTTTTTGAAGGATTTTGGCATTTGCGCCTTTTCGGCTCTCCGACGGCTCAAGACGGCCCAAGAAGCCCCCAAGATCGCCCAAGAGGCCCCCAAGAGAGCCCCCTGATGGCCCAAGTGGCCTCCAAGATGGCCCCTAGAGGGCCCCAAGACGGCCCAAGAGGCCTCCAACACGCCCAAGATGGCCTCCAAGACGCCCAAGATGGCCTCCAAGACGGCCCTGGAGCGCCCCAAGAGGGTCCCCCGTTGGCCCAGACAGGCCCCCAAAACGGCTCCCGACGGCGTCAGACGTGCCAGGAACCCACCAAGATGGCCGAAGTTGGCTCGAAGCTGGCCCAAAAGGGCCCAAGAGGCCCCCAAGAGGGCCTCCAGGAAGGCCAAAAGATGCCAAAATCACTGATTTTCCCAAGGTTTTTGATGGATTTGGGCATTTCCCTTCTTTCGGCCTTCCGACGGCCCGAGACGGCCCAAGAGCCCCCAAAGATCGCCGAAAGATCGCCCAAGAGGCCTCCAAGACGACGACGATGACCATCAAGACGCCCACGTGTTCCCCGAAGGCTTTCCAAACCGATTCGGGGAACACATGGTCCGATGGCTTGGCAGGTCTGGCCTCAACGTTCGGCCACATAGGCGCTTCCACAAAGGCAGGGGGCGGCGGTGATTCGCCGTAGGCGTCTTCGATCCGCCGCCCCCTGCTTGCAGGGGTGCACGGCGTGCTGGACGTTTCAGGTTTTGGTTTTGGTTCTTTTTCCAAAAGAACTCCCCAGTGGGCTCCGGCAGAACCCGCCGGCCACCCGGAAAATCCCCAAACGTGCTCAACGACCGGAAAAAATCCTCCAAAAAACGGCCGTTTCGCTCGGGACATCCTCAAAAAATCGCGAAGGTGGCCCAAGATGGCCTCCAAGTCCGCCCGAGATGGTCCAAGACGGCCTCCAAAACGGCCCAAGAGAGTCCAAGACGGCCCAAGACGGCCCAAGAGGCCCCCCAGAGGCCTCCCAGACGGCCCAAGAGGCCTCCAAGAGGTCCTCCAGGAGAGTCCGAAGAGGCCAAAATCATTGATTTTCCCTTGGTTTTTGAAGGATTTTGGCATTTGCGCCTTTTCGGCTCTCCGACGGCTCAAGACGGCCCAAGAAGCCCCCAAGATCGCCCAAGAGGCCCCCAAGAGAGCCCCCTGATGGCCCAAGTGGCCTCCAAGATGGCCCCTAGAGGGCCCCAAGACGGCCCAAGAGGCCTCCAACACGCCCAAGATGGCCTCCAAGACGCCCAAGATGGCCTCCAAGACGGCCCTGGAGCGCCCCAAGAGGGTCCCCCGTTGGCCCAGAAAGGCCCCCAAAACGGCTCCCGACGGCGTCAGACGTGCCAGGAACCCACCAAGATGGCCGAAGTTGGCTCGAAGCTGGCCCAAAAGGGCCCAAGAGGCCCCCAAGAGGGCCTCCAGGAAGGCCAAAAGATGCCAAAATCACTGATTTTTCCCAAGGTTTTTGATGGATTTGGGCATTTCCCTTTTTTCGGCCTTCCGACGGCCCGAGACGGCCCAAGAGCCCCCAAAGATCGCCGAAAGATCGCCCAAGAGGCCTCCAAGACGGCGACGATGACCATCAAGACGCCCACGTGTTCCCCGAAGGCTTTCCAAACCGATTCGGGGAACACATGGTCCGATGGCTTGGCAGGTCTGGCCTCAACGTTCGGCCACATAGGCGCTTCCACAAAGGCAGGGGGCGGCGGTGATTCGCCGTAGGCGTCTTCGATCCGCCGCCCCCTGCTTGCAGGGGTGCCTGGCGTGTTAGATTTTATCGGTTTTGGTTTTGGTTCTTTTTCTAAAAGAACTCCCCAGTGGGCTTCGGCCCGTCCCGCCGGCCACCCGGAAAGGATGCCCAGGAGCTCAATTCCCCAATTTCCTGCCCCAGACGGTTCCAAGATGGCCTCCAAGATGCCTCTAAGACGGCCAGGATGGTCTCTAAGACGGCTAAGATGGCCTTATGATGCCTCCAAGACGGTCCAAGACGGCCTCCAAAACGGCCCAAGAGAGTCCAAGACGGCCCAAGACGGCCCAAGAGGCCCCCCAGAGGCCTCCCAGACGGCCCAAGAGGCCTCCAAGAGGTCCTCCAGGAGAGTCCGAAGAGGCCAAAATCATTGATTTTCCATTGGTTTTTGAAGGATTTTGGCATTTGCGCCTTTTCGGCTCTCCGACGGCTCAAGACGGCCCAAGAAGCCCCCAAGATCGCCCAAGAGGCCCCCAAGAGAGCCCCATGATGGCCCAAGTGGCCTCCAAGATGGCCCCTAGAGGGCCCCAAGAGGGCCCAAGAGGCCTCCAACACGCCCAAGATGGCCTCCCAGACGCCCAAGATGGCCTCCAAGACGGCCCTGGAGCATTCCAAGCGGGCCCCAAGTCGGCCCATAGAGGCCCCCCAAACGGCTTCCGACGGCTTCAGACGTGCCAGGAACCCACCAAGATGGCCGAAGTTGGCTCGAAGCTGGCCCGAGACGGCCCAAAAAGCCCCAAAGATCGCCCAAAGCTTGCCCAAGAGGCCTCCAAGACGGCCAAGATGACCTTCAAGATGCCCACGTGTTCCCCGAAGGCTTTCCAAACCGATTCGGGGAACACGTGGTCCGATAGCTTGGCAGGTCTGGCCTCAACGTTCGGCCACATAGGCGCTTCCAAAAAGGCAGGGGGCGGCGGTGATTCGCCGTAGGCGTCTTCGATCCGCCGCCCCCTGCTTGCAGGGGTGCCTGGCGTGTTAGATTTTATCGGTTTTGGTTTTGGTTCTTTTTCTAAAAGAACTCCCCAGTGGGCTTCGGCCCGTCCCGCCGGCCACCCGGAAAGGATGCCCAGGAGCTCAATTCCCCAATTTCCTGCCCCAGACGGTTCCAAGATGGCCTCCAAGATGCCTCTAAGACGGCCAGGATGGTCTCTAAGACGGCTAAGATGGCTCCAAGATGCCTCCAAGACGGCCCAAGATGCCCTCCAAGACGGCCAAGATGGCCCCAAGATGCCTCCAAGATGGCCCAAGAGGCCTCCAAGACGTTCTCCAGGAGAGCCCGAAGAGGCCAAAATCATTGGTTTTCCTTAGGTGTTTGAAGGTTTTTTGCGTTTTCTTCTTTTCGGCCTTCCGACGGCCCAAGAGGCCCCCAAGATCGCCCAAGAGGCCTCCAAGAAGGCCCTATGACGGCCCAAGGGCCCCCCAAGACGGCCCCAAGAGCGCCCCAAGACGGCCCAAGAGGCCTCCAAGACGCCCAACATGGCCTCCAAGACGGCCCTGAAGCGCCCCAAGAGGGCCCCAAGACGGCCCAGAGAGGCCCCCAAGACGGCTCCAGACGGCGTCAGACGGACCAGGAACGCCCTAAGACGGCCAAAGAGACCCCCAGGAAGCCCCCAAAGGCCCCCAAGAGGCCCAAGGAGGCCCCCAAGATGCCTCCAAGAGGCCTCGAAGAGGCCCCCAAGAAGCCCCCAACAGACCCCAAGGGTGCCCCAAGAGACTCCTAACAACCCTCATCCTCCTACTCTATTTCTTCCTCTTCCTCTTCCTGTTCATAATCATTCTCTCCCATGTGTTCCCCGAAAGCTTTCCAAACCGACTCGGGGAACTCATGGTCCGATAGCTTGGCCAAGCTCTAGTCCAACTTTCGGCCACATCGGCGTTTCCAAAAAGGCAGGGGGCGGCGGTGATTCGCCGTAGGCGTCTTCGATCCGCCGCCCCCTGTCGATTCATCGCAGGGGTGCCTGGCGTGCTAGATCCTTTCGGTTTTGGTTGTGGTTCTTTTTCCAAAAGAACTCCCCCTGGGGATCCGGCACGTCCCGCCGGGGTCCCGGGAAGGACCTCAAAACCTGGTTGCAAAGGTTTTCCCTGCTCCAGACGGCTCCAAGACGACCCAAGATGGTCTCCAAGATGCATCCAAGACGGCCAAGATGGCCTCCAAGACGGCTAAGATGGCCCCAAGATGCCTCCAAGACGGCCCAAGATGCACCCAAGACGGCCTAAGATGGCCTTAAGATGGCCCAAAACGGCCCCAGAGGCTCCCAAGAGGTCTCCAAGACGGCCCAAGAGGCCTCGAAGAGGTCCTGCAGGAAGGCCCGAAGAGGCGAAAATCATTGATTTTCCCTTGGTATTTGACGGATTTGGGCATTTGCGCCTTTTCGGCTTTCCGACGGCCCAAGACGGCCCAAAAGGCCTCCAAGGTCGCCCAATGATCGCCCAAGAGGCCTCCAAGATGGCCCCATGACGGCCTCAAGACGGCCCCAAGAGGGCCCCAAGACTGGCCAAGAGGCCTCTAAGACGCCCAAGATGGCCTCTAAGACGGCCCCGGAGCGCCCCAAGAGGGCCCCAAGAGGGCCCTCTGAGGCCCCCAAGACGGCTCCCGACGGCGTCAGACGTGCCAGGAACCCACCAAGATGGCCGAAGTTGGCTCGAAGCTGGCCCAAGACGGCCCAAGAAACCTCCAAGAGGCCTCCAGGAAGGCCAGAAAGAACGCCAAAAACACTGATGTTCCTTAGGTTTTTGAAGGATGTTGACATTTGCTTCGTTTCGGCCTTCCGACGGCCCGAGACGGCCCCAGAGCCCCCGAAGATTGCCCAAAGATCGCCCAAGAGGCCTCCAAGATGGCCCCATGACAGCCCAAGAGGTCCCCAAGACGGCCCCAAGAGGCCCCCAAGACGGCCCAGGAGGCCTTTAAGACGCCCAAGATGGCCTCGAAGACGGCCTTGGAGCACCCCAAGAGGGCCCCAAGTCGGCCCAGAGAGGTCCTCCAAACGGCTCCCGACGGCGTCACCAAGACGGCCGAAGATGGTCTTAAGATAGCCCAAGACGGCCCAAGAGGCCTCCAAGAGGGCCTCCAGGAAGGCCCGAAAAAGCCAAAATCATTAATTTCCCATGGATATTTGAAGGATCGTGGCATTTGCTTGTTGTTCGGCCTTCCGACAGCCCAAGACGGCCAAGTGCCCCCAAAGATCGCCCAAGACGGCCCCAAGAGGCCCCCAAGACGGCCTAAGAGGCCTCCAAAACGCTCAAGATGGCCTCCCAGAAGGCGCCTCCAGACGGCCCAGATGACCTTCAAGATGCCCACGTGTTCCCCGAAGGCTTTCCAAACCGATTCGGGGAACATGTGGTCCGATCGCTTGGCAGGTCTGGCCTCAACGTTCGGCCACTTAGGCGCTTCCAAAAAGGCAGGGGGCGGCGGTGATGCGCCGTAGGCGTCTTCGATCCGCCGCCCCCTGTTGGCTTCCCACAGGGGTGCCGGGCGTGCTGAACCCTTTCGGTTTCGTTTTTCCAAAGGAACTTCCCCAGGGGCTTCGGCCCGTCCCGCCGGCCACCCGAAAGGGATCTGAATCCCGGAAAAAAAAACCAAGACGGCTCAAGATGGCCTCCAAGATGGCCACGTTGGCCCAAGATGGCCTCCAAGATGGTCCAAAATGGCCTCCAAGTCCGCCCGAGATGGCCCAAGACGGCCTCCAAGCCGGCCCAAGAGAGTCCAAGATACCTCCAAGTTCGCCCAAGAAGCCTCCAAGACGGCCCAACACGACCCAAGAGGTCTCCAAGAGGTCCTCCAGGAGGGCCCGAAGAGGCCAAAATTCTTAGGTCTTTGAAGGATTTCGGCATTTGCCTCTTCTCTGCATTCCGACGGCTCAAGACGGCCCAAAAGGCCCCCAAGATCGCCCCAAGATCGCCCACTAGGCCTCCAAGATGGCCCAATGACGGCCCAAGAGACCCCCAATACGGCCCCAAGAGGGCCCCAAGAGGCATCCAAGGCGGCCAAGATAGCCTCTAAGACGGCTAAGATGACCCCAAGATGCCTCCAAGACGGCCCAAGATGCATCCAAGACGACCTAAGATGGCCTCAATATTGCCCAAGACGGCCCAAGAGGCCCCCAAGAGGTCTCCAAGACGGCCCAAGAGGCCTCAAAGAGGTCCTCCAGGAGGACCCGAAGAGACCAAAATCATTAATTGTTCTCAGGTTTGTCAAGGATTTTGGCATTTGTTTCTTCTCGGCACTACGACGGCTCAAGACGGCCCAAGAGGCCCGGCCCCCAAGAGGGCCCCAAGAGGCCCCTAAGAGGCCCCCAAGAGGCCTCCAAGACGGCCAAGGTGGCCTCCAAGATGGCTGAGATGGCCCCAAGGTGCCTCCAAGACGGCCCAAGATGTATCGAAGACGGCCTAAGGCGGCCCAAAGGCCCCCAAGAGGCGCCCAAGACGGCCCAAGAGGCCTCCAAGAGGTCCTCCACGAGGGCCCGAAGAGGCCAAAATCAGTGGTAGTCCTACAGCTTTTGAAGGATTTTGGCATTTGTGCGTTTTTGGCCTTCCGACGGCCCAAGAGGCCCCCAAGATAGCTCCAAAATCACCCAAGAGGCCGCCAAGATGACCCCATGACGGCCCAAGAGGCCCCCATGACGGCCGCAAGAGGGTCCCAAGACGGCCCAAGAAGCCTCCAAGACGCCCAAGATGGCCTCCAAGACGGCCCTGAAGCGCCCCAAGAGGGCCCCAAGTCGGTTCAGAGAGGCCCCCAAGACGGCTTCCGACGGCGTCAGACGGGCCAGGAACGCCCTAAGACAGCCAAAGAGGTCCCAAGAAGCCCCCAAAATCCTCCAAGAGGCCCAAGGAGGCCCCCAAGAGGCCTCCAAGACGGCCAATGTGGTCCAAGATGGCCTCCAAGATGCGTCCAAGATGATCAAGATGGCCCCAGTCCCAAGATGCCTCCAAGACCGCAAAGATGGCCCAATAAAACCCTAGAGTAACCCAAGAGGCTCCCAAGAGGCCTCCTCCTCCCTTCTCCTTCTTCCTCCCTCTCCTCTCCTTCCTCCTCCCCCACCGTGTTCCCCGAACGCTTTCCAAACCGATTCGGGGAACACATGGTCCGATAGCTTGGCAGGCCCCTGGCCACAACGTTCGGCCACATAGGCGTTTCCAACAAGGCAGGGGGCGGCGGTGATTCGCCGTAGGCGTCTTCGATACAGGCGCGCGACCGTGGAGAGCATGCTGCTCTTGCCGCAGCCCGTGCGCCCCACCACTGCGGCGCGCGCCCCCGCGGGGACCTGCACGGTGAGGCCCCGCAGGATCCACGGCAGGTCCGCGGCGTAGCGGAACCTCACGAGCGGCGGACGCATCTAATATCCGCGCCCTCGCGGTCTGGATTCGGGGGCGCGATCCCACGGATCGGTCGCACGGGTACGACCGCGAGGGGCGTCCGCTGAAAAACGCTCAGGATCCGAGGGTCGCGGCCCAGGGGCCCAGCCCGCGAGGCCGCGGACACGGATATGTTCTTCGCCCACGATCGACGTCGGCGGCCCCCGGAGAGGTAAACCGCGGGGAGCAGTCGGGGATGTTGAGGGGGGCCCTTCCAGGGGCCCAGTAGCTAGTTCGTCGAGCTCGGCTCGCTCACCCGACGGATTTGACCCCTGGCCTTAATGATCCCCAAGGGTCCGCTGAGGATCCTAGCTCTGGCCTGAAGCAGCCCTACGGATCCACTAGGGGTAAGAGTTTGTCGCCCGCGAGCGCCAGACGGACTGCAGCGAGATGGCGCACCCGCGCCCGCAGCCCTGCGGGGCGCCGTCGGCCGGGGGGGCGGCCACACCGCTGGCGCACGGGCCCTTCTCGGGCTGCAGGCGGATGTTCGAAGAACACCAATGGCATAGACACAAGCTTTCCGAGGTGCGCGCGGATTTCTTGGATCGGCGCTGGAGCCCCTCGGCGGCGCCTCCGGCGCTGCCCCCTCGCCAGCGCGCTCCGCGCGCCGGGGAGGGGGAGCCCAGCGCTGATCCACGAAATCAGCGCGGAGCTCCGAAAGGTGATGCTCAGCCATTGCTTGTTCCTCGAGATGTACTCCATGACCCGCTCGATCGACACCATCTCCACCTCCAGGGAGGCAATGCGCCGCGAGAGCCACATGAGGTCGCGGGGCATGCTGATGGCGTAGGAGAGGGCCAGGCCGGCCAGCCCGGGGCTGAGCAGACCGGCAGATGCTCTGTAGCCAATCGTGCCAGCGATGATGGCCAGCAGGCCGGTGCCGAGGACCTCCTGGACCATCGAGACCCAGCCCTGCGCCGTCCAGAACCTCATCATGGGACGGCAGAAGGACATACTAGCACTGTGTGACCTCCTTGGAGGCGTGCGTCCGACCAGGCCACACAGCACAACCGGTGCGATTGCAGATCGTAACCCCAGCTGAATGGTCAGAAAGCACCCGCCACCGAGCATACACAATTCGCTGGCCCAACGGGCCAGAGGCGTGGTAAGGTCTCTGGCTACTGGTTAACAATATTTCTAGTTCGCGCGCGCGGGGCGGCCCCTGGGGGTCCCCCGACGAAAAGTACCCCGACCGCAGCCCGACCACTGCTACCCAGAGATGGTTTTCCTCTCGAGTGTGGCTTCTCAGGCCCCCCAGAGCGCGCCAAGAGTGCCCCAAGAAGCCCCCCAAGACTGCCCTAAGGGCCACCGAGACGCCCAAAGAGCGCTCCAAGACGCCGATGATGACCCCAAGACGGCCCAAGAGGCCTCCAAGTGGCCTCCAAGAGGCCTCACAAGAGGGCCCCGAGAGGCCAAAATCATAAGTTAATGTTTACGATGGTTTTGTAAGTATTTGGGCCTTGTCCCCTTTTCGGCCATCCGATGCTCCAAGACGGCCCAAGAGGCCCCCAAGAGCGCCCCAAGACGGGCCAAGAGGCTTCCAAGAGGGCCCCAAGAGGGCCCAAGAGGGCCCCGAGACGGCCCTAGAGCCGCCCAAGACGGCCCAAGACGGCCCCAAGACGGCCCCAAGAGGGGCCCAAGAGGGGGACCACGAACTGAACAGGAGGCCCCGAGAGGCCCCCAAGAGGCCCCAAGATGCCGCCATGAGGCCCCAAGAGGCCCCAGGAGGCCCCCAGGAGGCCCCCCAGAAGGCTTCAATTATCCCGGCAAAGCAACCTAACATCGATATGTAGAAGCATAGCTGGAGGCATGCAGCAGCAGTAACAGTCACAGTAGTAGTAGCAATAAGAGCAGGAGAGATGAAACAGTGGTAACAGTGAAGTAGTAGTTGTAGTTGGCGGGAGTGAACGAGTGAAGTGTAGTAGTAGTAGTAGTAGTGGGTGTAGTGGTAACAGCGAAGTGAAGTATAGTTGGAGTGGGTGGATGGCAGTAGTAGTAACAGTGAAGTACGGCGGATGTATTGGATTGTAGAATGGTAGTAGGGGAAGTTAGCCCCCGTAGTAACGGTATCAGTAAAAGTAATAGTAAAATGTATGTCGAAACGAGACACTGCTATCAATGCACGGAGCTTGAATGGATGTATTTGCAAACGAGACACTGCTATCAACGCACGGAGTTTATCCCGGCAAAGCAACCTAACAGCCATGTGTAGGAGCATCTGTGGGTCGAACAGCATCTTGACGAAAAGGCAGCGACAAAAAAGGTGACGTCGACGACGGCGGTGGCGGCGGCGACGGCGGCGGCGGCGCCCCCCCCGCCGCCATCCGCAGAGGTGGCTCGTTCGTGTTCTTCGTGGCCCGCCATACCCGGGCCACATTTTTTGTTTGTTGATAGCAGTGTCTCGTTTCCAGGTATGCTTCCAGCATGTGGAGAAGCATATATGGGAGCATTCCCCTTGAGATTCAGATGAGAATCCAGTTGTCGAGTCGAAATAGGGAAAGCCAAGACGTGTCCGTACTGGTGGGAACGACAGTACCTGCAGTAACAATAGTAGTGGCATTGGCAGTAGCTGCAATAACAGCTATCAAACGAGACACTGCTATCAACGCTGGCAGTGTGTCAAACAAAACTTTGCTATCAATTTTCGGAGTCGTGTGAAAAGGCGACACTGCTATCAACGCTGGAAGTGTGTCAAAACGAGACACTGCTATCAATAATGGAAGTCGTGTACAAACGAGACACTGCTATCAACGCTGGAAGTGTGTCAAAACAAAACTTTGCGATCAGTATTCGGATTCGTCTAAAAAGGAGACACTGCTATCAACGCTGGAAGTGTGTCAAAACGAAACTTTTCTATCACTAGTGAGAGTCGTGTAAAAAACGAGACCCTGTTATCAACGCTGGAAGTGTGTGAAAACGAAACTTTGCTATGAATATTGGGAGTCGCGTAAAAAGGAGACACTGCTATCAACGCTGGGAGTGTGTCAAAACGAGTCACTGCTATGAATGGGGAGAGTCGTGTAAGATGGAGACGCTGCTATCAACGCTGGAAGCGTTTCCAAACGAAACTCTGCCATGAATTTTGGGAGTCGTGTAAAAAGGAGACACTGCTATCAACGCTGGAAGTGTGTCAAAACGAGACACTGCTATCAATAGTGGCATTCGTGTAAAAAGGAGACACTGCTATCAACGCTGGCAGTGTGTCAAAACGAAACTTTGCTGTGAATTCTGGGAGTCGTGTGAAAAGGAGACACTGCTATCAACGCTGGCAGTTTGTCAAAACGAAACTTTGCAGTGAATTTTGGGAATCGTGTAAAAAGGAGACACTGCTATCAACGCTGGAAGTGTGTCAAAACGAGACAGTGCTATCAATAGTGGCAGTCGTGTAAAAAGGAGACACTGCTATCAACGCTCGCAGTGTGTCAAAACGAAACTTTGCTGTGAATTCTGGGAGTCGTGTAAAAAGGAGACACTGCTATCAACGCTGGAAGTGTGTCAAAACGAGACACTGCTATCAATAGTGGGAGTCGTGTAAAAACGAGACACTGCTATCAACGCTGGCAATGAATGATGATGATGAGTGCGATGATGAGTGCGACGATGAGATGATGACTGTCCTTTTTTCAGAGGACCGCGCTGAGGAGCGGCGTGCGAAGCGGAGAAGCTGCAAAGCGCGCAGGCTGAAAAGCATTGCAGACACGCGCAGGCTGAAAAGCATTGCACGACACGTGCAGGCTCACCGCGCACAGCTGCACACGAGCGCAGGCTGAGAAGCACCACGCGCATGCAGGCTGAGAAGCACCACACGAATGCAGACGGACAGACTGAACAGCACCGCCACAACGCAAGCTGCATCTCATGGCTCCTCAAGCTCGCGCAGGCCATCCCAGTTGCTGTCGGGCCTTCGCGCAAGCGATCTTCGTCGCGGCAATCTTGTCCGCGAAGAGCTCGGCGAAGGCCTTGGCGATCTGTTCCGGGGGGCCGGATTCGATGATGCTCCGGTCAGGCAAGCCGTGGCTCAAGAGTTGGTTGAAGCTTCTGGGGCGCGACAGGCTGACGTAGTAGGCAAGCCAAATGGACTCCTTCTTGAGTCCTGGCGGAAACGTCCAGTGCACGATGAAGCCTGGGTCCGTCGTCTTGCCCTGGACGCCATGCAGAGTCCCCTGCTTTTTGGGCAGCACGGTCAACTGCGTCCTGGACACCGCGATGGCCGGGCCACCTGTCTTCGCTTTGAACTTCCAGGGGCGCGCCTGCGGGGTGATCGCGAGCACTCCGCGCAGGTCGGGGCCGGCAGGCTGAGAAGCACTGCCAGCTGTCACCGGCGCGGCCTTCAAGAAAAGTTCATCGCTGTCATCGATCTTGACATAGACGGCCTTTGGCATGTAGTAGAGTACGACCACACCGTCCGAGACAATGGACGGGCGGCCCTCCACCGGAGGCTCCAGAGCGTGCAGCTCTATGCCTACCACTTTGCCTGGCGCGCCACGGACATACTTCGGCGGCAAGACGGATTCTGTCAGGATGACCTCCATGCCAACGAAGAGCGGCAGCAGCCCCGGCATTTTTGCGGTAGCGCCGATGTTGGGCTCCGCGCGCATCTCGTCGAAATCAGGCTTCGCGAGGCGCGCAGCTGGTCTGTCGATTGCTGGGACGTAAAAGAGCAGCTGGCCAGCATCGTGCGCATCAAGCTTGGCCTGTGCATGCATGGCGTAAGAGACGATGCGCCACTCATAGGCCGACTCGTACCAGCCTCGTGCTGCACGCAACCGAGGGCCCCATTGAGGTGGCTGAGCGGCTTCGCTGCTGCTGGCAGCAGGCTGACCAGCACCGCTAGGGCTAACGACCTCTGTTTTGACGATCGCCTGCCAGCTCTCGTCAGAGATCTTTTTTCCGCCTGGAGTTCTCATGGCGTGGAGAACCTCGAGTTGCAACGGGTCTGTAAAGCGCTGCATCTGCACGAAATCGATGACGTACTCGAAGTCGGCGAGCAACTTCCTACCCTGTTGGTGTTCGTAGGACTGGCCCGTGTGAGGCGCCAGCAGGGAGGCGCTGGCGGGGACCGGCGGCAACTGGTAGAAGTCCCCGCACAAGATCTTCACGGCCATGCGCCCCCACGTCTCCTGCGGGCGCATGTACTTCGCGGGGTCGAGGTTGTAGCGCAACGCCCTGCCGTAGGTCGTGCGCAGTGCATCGGCATGCAGCAAAGGCCCCGGCACAGCACCCAGCTCATCGATCACGTCGACGCCGAGTGTGCCTGTGAGGCGGTCCAGCTTTTTCTGCGTCTGTGGCGTCAAGCGCAGCCTGGCGGTCTGCAGGGAGTCCGACATGAGCAGCCCATTGGAGGAATGCATTGTCCTGCCGCGCGGGCCGAGGTTGTGTGCCGCGTGGTTGGACTGAGCTTTGCCGAGGTACCCCTGCTCGCCGAAGTAAGTGATGGCCATCGGCTCCACCACTTTGGAGAGGGTGCGTGTCTTGCCGACACCGCCTCCCCCGAGCCAAATCGCTCTGTGGTTGCCTGTCGCGGATACCACGGGGAGCAGATGCGTTGTCTTGTCTGGTCTGCCGTCAAAGCGTTTCTGCAGGGACAGCGCGAACAACGCCACCGCGTCAATCTGCTCCTCCGTGCACTCGGCATCATTGACAAGCTTCCACGCAACAGCCGCCGGGCCCTGCATGGCCAAGAGCTGCGGCACGAGCTCCGGCTGCGCGTCCTCGGCAGCAGGCTGAGGAGCACCGCTGGGTAGCCAGTCGTCCGCAGCCTCGGGCAAGGTCTCTCCATCCGGGCTCGCTTGCTTCTTTTGGAGCGCAATGCTTTGCCGCTGTAGGGCGAGCATGTCAGAAAAGGTCTCGTCCAGCCGCGTGCCCTGATGTTCCCGCGCGCCGCTGCTGGCTGGCAGTGCAAAGCTGGGCTGCAGCATGCCGCTGTAC